AAGAACAGGACGCATTTCTGCCAAAAGACTTTGGGTTCCAAGATTCGTTTCTGACTCTGGGATCATGGCCATTAAGCAGTTCGATCAGGAACTAGAGAGGCTACGCCTCCAATTATATAGCTGAGCCGGTGGTGGTTTGTGGGTGTGTCTCCCATATACCTAACCTTTGGCTGTTTACTTTCTTGGTAAACTTTGCCCCAAGTTTTTGGGGTCTGGCCACAGGCACAGCAGCAATTTTGGGGTATCTGAAAGTCTGACGTTGCCATCAGCCAAAAATGTTCTTAACTGGTAGTAGAAGAGTAAAGTAGTGACTGAGGTAACTTTTAATAAAACAGACACATGTAGTTGGCAAGAATATAAAATAATAGCACCTACCGGAACAAAATTGGCAATGTTTATTATTATTTTTTTATTTGTTGGGAGATTATACCAGGCAGTGCTTGGGGTCAGAAATGCTCCTAGCAGTGTTCAGGGACCATGATGTACTAGGGCTGGAATCAGAACTCTGACACCTAAGCACCAACTCAGCACATTTAATCATCTCCCTAGTCCTGCTTAGCAAATTTGTAAATGAATATAATTGTTTAAACAATTTTTATAAATTTATCCTTTAGAAAGAAATGCAAGTGACAAAGGATATATTTATATGGCTTTTCAGTGCAGCGTTGTTAATGATTGACAAAATTTGGAAAATTTCTGAGTGCATACTAACAAAGGATCAAATTGTATGTTAAACTCAGGGTGGTTCTGCCTGTACTGACCAGAAAAACATCAGTAGTGTATTTATCAGGTTTTTTTTAAAGTGATACAGAATGTAAAAGAACTATAGACAAAATGCATACTTGCCATTTTTTGTGCAGTTAAAACTTTACATGCATATGTGTGGGTGTCTAAACATCTGTGTTAGGAAGGAGACATGCCCCCTGTTGCTGCTGATGATAACTGGAAGGGGAATGAAAGAATATTACTATTACTTTGTTATGTTCTTCACAGCCTGTTTTTAGAATCTAATAAACACTTAATTATTTTTGCAATTCAAATAATACCAAAAAATTGACAAATATTTCTGTGAAGTTGCCCTCTCTCAACAAAGCATTTCTTTTGGCTGACCTGGATACGATTCCCCAGAATCCCATGTTGTCCCCCAAGCACTGCCAGGAGTAACCCCTGGGCATCGCTGGGTGTGACCCAAAGAGCCAAAAATAAATAAATAATATTTGATTCTCTCTAGTCACTTAAAAAAAAAAAGGACAGTGTGAAAGACACCCCATGAAATGGGAGAAAATATTTGCGAGCATCATCTGATAAGAGATTAATCTTCAAGGTGTATAAATAATTCTTTCATCTCAAAGCAAAACCACAAGTGATAACAAAGGATGGGTTTTTAAAATTTGTTGTCGTTGAGGCCATACCTGCAGGTATTCAGGGCTTCGTTCTAACTTTGCGTGGTTTCAGAAGACCATATGTAGTGCTCTGGCAGATTGAACTCAGTTGAATCAAGTGCAAAGCAAACACCCTACCTGCTGTACTATTGCTCTGGCCTCTGGGATCAAGAATTTGAATGAATATTTCTCCAAAGAAGACATGTAGATGAATAAGAGGTATATGAAGATTTTCACTATCAAGAGAATTAAGAAGATCTTTCAATTATCAAAAAGATACAAATAAAAAATTACCACCAGTAGGCATCTCACATCATTAGGTATTCACATCTACAATACTATTAAAAGTAAGATAACAAGTTTTGATAAGGATATGAGAAATTGAATTCCAGTATATGCAATCATTTTACTATGGTAACCATTAACCCTTCCATATATGGGAGAAAATAAACTGAGAGCTTAGGACACATATCCACTCAGTGTTATGTTCCTATGATGTTTTTTTGTGTTTTTTTTTGGGGGGGGAGGGCGGGGGGAGACCAAACCTGGCAGTGCCCAGGGCTTACTCCTGGCTCTGTGATCAAGGATCTCTCCTAGGGGTGCTCAGGGAATATATGTGATGACAGGGATCAAACCCAGATCAGCCACATGGAAGGCAAACACTCCACCTGTTTTACTCTCTTTCTAGCCCTGATGCTGTGATTTGACTGGTTTTAAGTAACACAATATTTTCCACAATTAAAGGAAGACAAGTCAACTTGAAATTATATATTTTTTAAAGACTAGTCAGAGGTAGAAAGATAATTGTAAACAAATGAGGAGAATATAAATTCTTTACCTTTTTAGGGTGCAGGACAGCATTTCAGAAGTCTTACAATTTTAGTCCTGCCAAAGGCAGTATTCCTTCCATATACTAACCATACCATATTATTAAACAACTTCCAAGATGGTTGACTCTGGTAACTTTCTTTCCTTCCTTTCCCTAGTCAGTCTGATTGAGTTATGAATGGACTAGCTTATTTTTACTGCAAGTGACAAGAATCAATCACTCTCTTTTCCTCTTCTCTCTCTCTTTCTCTTGCCCTTCCTCTCCTTCTCTCCATTCTCTTCTCCTCTCCTTTGTTTCATCTCAGTTTGTGATCCCTCTCCAGTCTGTTAATGAGCTGTATGGAAACCTTGCAGTTGAGGCTTACATTTCTTATAGGCAGTATGTGTAACTCATGATTTTTAGAAAACTAGCTGGATAGCTTGGTGACTGAAGAAATTTTTGTGGACCAGCTATAATCATGTCATAATTTACTTCTGATGCCTGTTACCTTGATATCAATGTGTATGTGCCATCGCCAAAATTGCAACAGCCACTATCCTACACATTTATTTACTACCCTATACAATATCCTACATATTAACCTACTGTCCTACACGTGGTTTATTTTCACCAATGGGATAAAAGTAAGTTTTGTTTTTTATCACTAAGTTTTAGTAATTTGCTAAACTCAAGAGCTTAATCTCTTGATCCTCAGAGTCAAGAGCAGTGCTAGTACATAGCAGATGTGTGCAAATACTTGTTAAAAACCTTGCCTAAACATTTACATAAAACTGTTGTGGACCTTCTTAATTTTGTTTTGACTTTTAAAAATCACTTCTCTTTCCTAAGGACAGTAGTGGAAGGTCTTGGGCACTTTGATGGGTTGTGAAGGTGCAGAGACTTTGTACAACTGTGACTGTCCTCCCGTTGTTCATCGATTTGCTCAAGCGGGCCCAGTAACATCTCCATTGTGAGACTCGTTGTTAACTGTGTTTGGCATATCGAATATGTCATGGGTAGCTTGCCAGGCTTTGCCCTGCAGGCGAGATACTCTCGATAGCTTGCCAGACTCTCTTAGAGGGGCAGAGGAATTGAACCCGCCTTGGCCTCGCCGGCTACGCGCAAGTCAAAGGCCCTACCACTGTGCTATCGCTCCAGCCCCTCCCAGCAACATGAATTTAAAAAATATTTATAAGTTTTGACAATGTTTCACATGCATTTTCTATTTCTTAATCACGCCACATGACAAAAAGGATAATTTTCTCTGAGTGAACACTGTGTTCTATGTTACTAGAAGCTAACTTCACTGTCTTGATTTAAAGATGACAAGCTAGGAAGAGCTTTTCATGGGGTTTCATAAAGCTTAAAATAAGGGTTCTCAGGAAATTTTAATAGTTCTGATGCATATTTACAATACTAAAAAAGCAGTTTTAAGGGGCTGGGGAGATAGTACAGTGGGTAGGACACTTGCCTTGTATGTGTCTGGCCCGGGTTCAATTCCAGGCATACTATATGATCCCTTGAATCTAACAGGAGTGCAGAGTCAGGAGTAAGCCCTTGGCACCACCAGGTGTGGCACTGAAACAAATTTAAAAGCTAGCTTAAAATAAGTTAAAATTAAAGTTTTATGTGCATATTATATTACATTACTTATGTTAACGATGGAACACATGTGAAGTGATTTCATTCTCCCTAACAAGGAGATTTTTTTTAAATTTTTTTTTTATTAGTGAAACACCATGAGGTATAGTTGTAGACTTACAAGCTGTTGTGCTTGGGTTTCAGTTATGTAATGATTGAGTACCCATCCCACCACCGGTGCCCATTCTCCACCTCCACCAATCCCAGTATCCCTCCCACCCCCCCCATTCCCCATCTCACCCTGCCTCTGTATTAGGGCACTCCCTTTTGTTCTATCTCTCCTTTTGGGTGCTGTGGTCTGCAGAAGAGACATTGGGTGGCAATCATGTTCGGTCCATAGATTACTTTCACCAGGCATCTCCCATCCTGGGCAGATCTTCCCAGCACCCTTTATTTGGTGCTCCCTTTTCTAACAAGGAGGTTTTTAATAATAAGTCTTTGTCAGGAATAATCGTAGATGCTTTATATATTGGATTCCATTTATTTATAAAATAAACATACAAATTAAGTACTCTCAGCCGTACTTCAGAAATTAAGAAATAATGTTGGAACCAATCATACAGCTGGTTAATCTTGAGTCAAGATCACAGTGATCTTTCTCCTGGACCACTTGATAGATGATGAATGGAGGATGTGAAGTAACTTAAGAAGCAGTAGCATGGAAGAGACCAATGAAAATACTTAGTTGTATATGTATTACAATTACAACCTACATAAAGAATAAAAATAACTTCTAGTATAGACTGATAGAATATGTGGTGCTGTTTTTTCTCTATTTTCCATAGTAATTATATTTAGATATGTTACCTTTAGAGTAAAGTATTATTCCCAGGTTGAGCACCAGCACTGTTTGTGGTTCTCATCATTGCCTAGAGTTGTCCCTGAGTGCAGAACAGGAGTAAGCCCTTAGGATCACTAAGTATAGCCTCCAAACAAAAACATAATCAAAGTATAGTATAATAATCAAAGTATAGTATTATAATCAAAGTAAAGTATTATTTTTAAAAAGTGTTTATTGCATTAAACAATTTGAGTATCTAGACTTAAAAAATGCTATAGCATTGGTTCATAACATAGTGTAATGGGTGTACATAAATATACTAACACTTGTATGTTTGGATATGCTTCTGAAAGATGGAGTGATCATTCAATATATTTTTAAATTTTAGATCATCAAGTTACTGGATGGAAAAAGATCTCAAACTGTTGGCATCTTGATATCCAGTTTGCATTTAGAAATGAAGGATATCCAGCAAGGTAAGTTTTCCTCATTACTTCCCCCCCTCACCCCAACCTTTTAATTTCTCTGTTTCATACTGTAAGGTCACAGTCCTCCTGTTGTTCATCGATTTGCTCAAGCGGGCCCAGTAATGTCTTCATCATGAGACTTATTGTTACTGTATTTGGCATATCAAATACCTCACGGGTAGCTTGCCAGGCTCTGCTGTGTAGGTGAGATACTCTTGGTAGCTTGCCGGGCTCTCCAAGGGGGCAGAGGAATCGAACTCGGGTCGGCCATGTTGGCTGTGTGTAAGGCAAACACCCTACCACTGTGCTATCGCTCTTTTATAGTGAAAATTTTCAAACAAGTAAAAAAATACTAGAATGCCTAGTGAATTTCATATGCCCAGTAAACAGTGACAAAATCATCAATTCTTGTGTCCTCTTGAAGCACCGTCTTCCCACCAACTAGATTATTAGGAAGCAAATATCAGACATTTCAAACTTCCATCAGTTTAAAATGTTGCTATTTCTTATTTTTTTTCATTCTTACTAAATTTTAAATTTGTAGATTTTAGCACAAAATTTAAAGAAAAAAGTATTTTGTTTATGACAGGGAAGACATAATTACCACAATAAGATCCAAGTAAAAATAAAATTTGCAATATATTTTAGATACCAGAATTGAAAACTTAATTATGTAAATAATAGGAACTATATTGCTTGTCTTGTATTTGTTTTAATGTAGGTTAAAATTAGATAGCAATCAATCATCACAAATTGACTTTTCTTGATTTATTTTCTGATAATTGAATTTGCCATTCCTTTAAGTTTTGTTAAATCAAGCAATATCAAATATATTTGATATATGCCTGCCAAAAAGTAAACCACGGTACCTTAATTAAAAATAGAAATAAAATATCACTCAACCACTCCAGATAGGAAGTTTTCTAATTGTGATTCCAGGGCCATTATCATGCATTTAAACATTTAATTCTAAAAGAATTAAACGTTTGCAATAATTTCTAAGTATCATAAAATATATAATTCATTATTTATTTACAACTAGTTTTAACCAGAATCCAAGAAATTTTTATGCATTTCCTTTAAGGTTTTTTATCCTTATCTTTTTAAATATTGTAATGAATTTTTGAAGACACTAAGTCACTTGTCACATGAGTTACCCACAGTATAGATTCTACTGACCACATTGGCATCTTTTTACTAATTATTTTCTTCTATGTCCTGCGGATCTTATAAACTATTTTTTTGGTTTGGAGACTTAATATAATCTTGAAAAGAATATTTGATGCCATTTTATATTGACTGAAGAAGTCAGGATATCTTATTGTCTTTTTATATTAGTGACCACCTTTGTTAGGTACACAATTTTATTAGATGTTTGCAAAATAGTTTCTCATTGATTCATTTAAGTCTTCTTGCTTAGCTGAAATACTTCATAGAGAAACGTGAAACAGTTGCTTCTTTATCTGGTTGGTTCTGACATTATTTCTTAATCTCTGTGCCTTTCCAAATGCAAATGCTCAGTTTGAAAGAAAATGTATTTCAGATTAAGGGGAAATGTAACATGTACTTGTCATTATATTTTTAGTTCCAGAAAAAGTAAACCAAAGTCATCTTAGTTTTTTTGAAATTTGTTGCTTGTATGAAAACAATATGGCTTCTTTGTAATAGTCAGTTAAATGTAAACCTTCCTAGCATGTTACTTGTAAAAATTTGTGAATGGTACTGTAGTCTTCTTTCTTAGGGAATATGATTTTCTTTCACTAGAATTTACCATGGGCTCTAAGACCATGGGCTCTTGAGGATTTCAGTCTGAGTCACCTCACATTGTTCCTTTCCCGTATGTCCTGAACTTCCTCACACTGACTTTCCTCTCAAAGAATTCTGTTTAAGAACTTAAAATTCTCCCTTATTGCAGATGTTAAAAATTCCACGTGAAATAATTGGAAATATATAACAGTAAAATATATTCCATATTTCAGCTTAAATAATAAAAACAAATATATTAGGTTTTTTTTCCAGAAAATGTTCCAATATTGATTGGAATTTGGGGTAAAAAGTACCTGAAAGGGTTTTTCATTTAAATTAGAGGAGTTTTTTTGTTTGTTTGTTTGTTTGTTTTGTTTTTATTGACTTTAAAGCCTCTCCTAGAGGAGAGAGAATTGATCTCTTGTAATTCAAAGCAGGAGAATGTGGTGCTAGGGCAGAAAGATAAGAAAATAAAGCAAAACGTATTCTCAGGGAAGTGTAAATCTTTCACCAACAAGAGTAAAGGTAAAGGTAAAGGCTCTCCCGTTGTTCATCGATTTGCTCAAGCGGGCCCAGTAACGTCTCCATTAGAGACTTTGTTGTTACTGTGTTTGGCATTTCGAATACGTCACGGGGAGCTTGCCGGGCTCTCCGAGAGAGACGGAGGAATCGAACTCAGGTCAACAAGAGTAGTGCTCTCTATATCCCCCACCCCCATTCTCTGCCTGTCTGTATGTCTTGTCTCTTTCTGTCTCCCTGTCTCTCTATTTGTTTCATCACCATGGTATGTAGCACCAGCACACAAGTTTTCATAGCAGCAATATAACCACAGATTTTATTCAGTTATTTTTAGGCACATCTACTGTATCAGATGGCTGTATGGATAAGTGTCATTCTAGCTATGTAGTACTCCGCCACCAACTCAGCTCCATAAAGCATCTTCTCATAGTATTTCAGTATTGTTTGGTTGAATGCTGATTGTACATTAAATAGGAAATTCATTTTGCCCAAGCCTTTCTCACCACTCTGCTCTGACCAATGTGTGCTCACATGAGTCCAAAGTGAACTTTCACTTTAGCACAGGAAATCTTGGTTGTAGTATCAGAGACTTCTAGGACTTGTGGTTGTTATTTTAGTTTTTTCTCTGGCTTCAAGTACCTCCATTATATAGCATAGATTTGGCTCCTAAATTGGGTGGTGGGGGATGCTTTATTTCATGTCTTCATTTAGTAATGCATTCCAGATGAATATGGCAATATTACCAAGAGCTGAATTTTTCTTTGGAATCATTTGATTGACACAGGCATCTGAAGGTCACATAGGCGCCCAGGCTATGTCAGTTACATTTCATCCTGAGTCCATGTCTGGTCGTGAATGGAATGTACTTGGCCTTGTGTTGTCATCCTGATGAAAGGATGCCCTGTGCTGATGTTGGTTTGAAATATTTGTTTCAGTGTGACAGTCTGTTGTAAGATCTGATTGGGCCAGGCTAGGCCAGCGGGTAGCCAAGCAAGGTCACACAGCACATCAAACCAGGTGAAAGGATCACAGTTCAGTGACTGTTCTTAGTCCTCTTGTCATATATTTATCTTTATCAGTGCAAAGACTTTCTTGCATCTTCTAGACTCACAAGAGCTGATGTATGAACCTGGAAAGTAGTATATTCACCAAGAAGATTCTTTTGTGATTATGAAAAGATTTATCGTATCTATTTATTGTTACCTATATAAGTCTTGTTTCCACTTATGTATTTGTTTTACAGAATTTCCCCCTCCCTACTGAGATTACAGTTTTGTCACCTTGATAATCGTTTGGGGCATTTCTGTCTACAGTCCCCAACTCCAATCACCACCACTGCCAGTAATGAAGAAAAAAAATTCAGTTTTACGGATTTAAATCTTTAAACTGCTCTTCTTTTACTTACTTGTAGGGTTGGCACTCTCCAATGTCCACTAAATATATTCACACTGCCTATAGTGTGAATTTTAGAAGTGAAATTTGAAGACTGTTTAGTCTAAGGTCTTAAGAATAGTAAATAGCAGAGCTTGTATTTGTTCATATCATGCGAAATTTCTTTGCTAGGAATTTCTGTGATAACTAAGCATTGGAACTATTGTATAATAACTGAAAGTCATCCTCATAAATGTCAACTTTAATTTGATTTTTAAAAAATGAACTAAATCTTTGAATAGATAGGATCAGAATGCCGTGTATTCCATTTCATTGAATTTTGGCAACATTTTCTCCCTTCCTCTGTCCCTTCCTTCCTTATTAAGTATCGAATGCCAGCTGTGCATCAGGTTCTATAACTGACATAACACTTAGGATCCAGGCTTGGTCTTGAAATCTTAGAATGGTGGCGAGACGGATCAAGCCGCCAAACCTTCAGTAGAGTATGAAACAATAGAGAGTAATATTTTAAGTGTTCCTGTGAATTTTAAGATGAACTATAGAATATGGATTGGTGGTCATCACAAGGAGAAGGCACCTTTCCAAATGAGAGATAACATGAGAAAAGAAGTGCAATTGTAGTGTATGGATTTCTTGTGAAATATGGGTTGTTTTGGGGCATAGGGCTGGAAAGTATCTTCTAGACTCACAAGAGCTGATGTATGAACCTGGAAAGTAGTAGTAGGTAGGTAGTAGTAGGTAGTAGTAGGTAGTAGTAGGTAGTCTCTAGTCCAGGATGTAGTCTGCATGTCACCATGTGAAATTTTGACATTGTCCCATCAGTAATAGGGGAGATGAAATGTTAGAGGAGCAGTGCTTTGATCTGATCTTTGAGAGCATAGTCATCTCTTTGATAGTAAAAGATCAAGCTCCAAAGCCTTGTATGGTTTGACCAAGCCCACTCTTCAGTCTGATTGCTTCCCCTCATACTACACTCTTCCACAGCACTTGTCTTTGATTCTGGAAAGAGGCCATGTTTTTTCTTCCTTCTGTCTTTGAGTGTATAACTGCATATTTCCTTTGCTTAAAATGCTTTTCCATAATTATTGCCTCTTTCTTTGGAGAAGGCAGGAGTTCCCCTCTGACAATTCTCAACTAGGCCTGCAGTTCTATATATATGAGGATGCAAGGATGCAGTGGTGCGCGGGCCCTGCAGAGTGAGGGCTTATGTGGATCATCATGGCAGTGCTTGGGCGACCATATTTTGCTGAGGATTAAACAGAGCCTGATATGAACCTTAACCTTTGACCCTAACTTTCTCCTTCTGTTCAACTTAAATGTCACCTCAAAAAGACTCTCCCATCTCCTGTTTC